GAAATTATTGCCAGTGAGAACATTTCAATGTCATCTACATTTTCACTTGGATGTTTTTCAGTCCCCAAATTTGTAATCTTGGGGTAGCCAATGGGATGCTGGTGGCATGATAGCATATTGAGAAATGTTGAGGCTTTCCAACATGTTCTACTTAAGTATGGTTGTGATTATTAGACTTTTTATTATACTACTCACACAGGGTTTCTTGTTACAAGGACACCTTAAGAGGAACATATTAAGGGAGCAGAGCAATAGTAAATGAATGGTGTTCAGTGGCAGGTTGATAGAAGTCTATCATAGCAGATGTTAAACTATAATATAAAAATTTGTATAAAGTAAAAAGAATTTAAACACACTCACACCAACAGATAAAATTTGAAGTTATTCCTCTCATATAGCTCTTTGGGTAACCCAAATTATATTTTTTTGGAAATGTTATAATGCTTTTTAAAAAGAACGAATCTGTTAATTATAAAGTAAAACTTTAAAAAATGATATAAAACAATTTATTTTACAAAGGAGGCAATAAAGTAAAAATTGTTTCAATTAAAGAAACATGAAGGCGGTCTGTAATAGTGTAGGACTGTCCTACTTTGGGCACATCACGAGAAGGAAGGATTCTTTGGAGAAAACACTGATGCTGGGGAAAAAGAAGGCCATAGGAAAAGAGGAAGAACAAGTAGGCTGATTGACTGCACAAAAGAAGCCATAGGCAGGAATCTACAGGAGCTGAGCAGGGCTGCCTAGGCTGTGGACATCACTCATTCAGAGACACCATGAGGCAGAGCCAACTCAAGGGCAAGTAACACTTACATAAGATCCAGCACTTCTCAGTATGTGTGCTGAGCTGCTTTCAGGAGAGCCCTGAACAAGTACTTCTTTATACCAATTGTAGCAGAAAAGTGGGGTAAGGAGAGTGGAGGAGGGGGGGAGAGGGGAAAGTCTGCATTAATAGCTGCACTAACAGCCAATTATAAAAAATGTAGATAAGAATCATAAAACATTTAACGAATTAACGCCCACTTGATTAGGTTAGCATTAGCAGGAAGACATCATTTCAAAGGTGTGGCCAAGAAGGTAAATGGTTCCCTTGAGAAGATGGAAAGGAGCTCTAAGTGGTAACAGGGTAGCACCGAAGAAAATCAGGATGAATAAATTTTGTATTGAATACTGCATAAGGAATGCAGGTTATCTACATTTCCTACTCGAATCCTACAGAAATGAGGAAATCCAATTATTTTCAGCTAAATTGCATTGGCATTTTTTAAGCACCCTCCGGTGAATGAGAAGTTTGGCCCCAGAAGAATGTAACCTATGTATGAAATCCTTATTTTTAAGGACCTTTGCTACTTGTATGATGAATCTGAGAGAAGATACTAGTAGATGAAGCAAATTCAAAGAAGAACCTCTGTCCCCACTCCTAGTAAAATGCTTGGTAGGAGAGGCTGAAATGCATCAAGATAATATTCTGTGGCCTTTTTGAGTGCTATTTGTAGATCAAATTTTCTATGCTTTTTTCTGGTCCCACTGATGCCTGGTTTTACCCACCATGAAAGGAAAACATTTTATAAACCAAAACAAGAGCTATCCTTCTCTCTCTAGAGATCAAGAGCGCTCACAATCTGCAGACTCTCTGAGCTGTGGCTCGCTGAGCCTTTCTGAGGTCAGGCTCCACACAGTCCAAATATTTCAACAATCACTGGCTGGCCCGCACCTCCTATAGCAATAGCCTCCAAGGTTTTCATTTTTTAGTTGTTTTTTTTTTTTTTAACTGCAATTCACAATAAGAAATAACATTTTATATTTTGATCTAAAATATTGGTTAAATTTCCAAATTTCCAATATTTTGGAAACAATGATCGATCTTTCTCCATACTCTGCTCTCTTCTTTTTTCTATTCCACTTTTGAAATATTCCGGGCTTGAGCTGATAAATTGATTTCATGAACCACTAATGGGTTAAGATTTATAGTTTGAAAAACAGTGCCCTTGAGGATGTTGGTTGATCTTGAGAAAAGGTAAAAAGAAATGGCCCTGGAACCTAAACAGATTTCTCTGAATGGTGTTGGCTGGCACACAAAACACCCATCCTGCATGGCTACTTCCATTTTCAGGGTGTTCAGCACACACCTTCCAATTCCCATCGGCAAACTGACCCAATGCCTTCTCCCAGGCTTCCTTGTACAGGGGCTCTGGCTTGGCCTGAAGGGTCAATAGACTGGATAACTAAGGTGCAGAAAAGTTAGCGCTGTTTCTCCTCATTATTTAACAAACAGAAATAGGACATTATGTAGAGGATATTTCTATGGGTGCATATGTGATCACTGGGATAGTAACACCGCTACTCCCATCAGAAAAAAAAAAAATGAGAGAAATAACTGATAGAAAATGTTTCAAAAAAATTCTTACTAATTTGAGGCCACAGGATAGTTGGAATGGATTAGGGCTGTAGAGGAGAAAGGGCCAGGGAAGGGACCAGAAAGTAATTCAGCTGTTCTACACAGATGATGAGAAACACATCTCACTTGGGAAGGAACAGTTGACACTCACACTGTAATAAGGGAGCTTTTGGAGACGTGCACATGTTCTTTGGTTCACAAATTATTTTGTAGAAGTGAGGAAATCACAAGCTTCTTTTTGTAACAGAAATCAACACTGTTATCTCTAATAATCACAGCTTTCTGGAGAAGAGAAGGCATGGAACCGAACTCTGCCTTGGGTATCATACAACAACCACGGACCAGAATATATGCTGGACTAGAATTGAGGTCCTGGAGCCACAGCTGACACATAATACAAAGAGAGAATTGACCTAAAACTCAGGACCTCATTCCATACCAACTACTAAACAACAAGCTTAACTCCTCAACAAGTTTATAGAACTCAAACTACCAAACAACAAGCTTAAAGTTTTCAAAGAGAAAGACATTAAGTGTAGTAAAGTATAGTTCAGGGCATTGTTTTCAAATATAATAAGATTATAGACTCTATAACATTCAAGAAAAAGAGAATACAGAAATAAATACATAATTGTAAAGTGTTAAAAATTCTAAAAAGACGATGCATCAGATCTACTGTTTCCATAAGAACAACCTAAGATCATTGGAAAACTACTGCTCTTGACATTGTGGGTCTTTCTACTTTAGGAACATAAGAAGGGACAGGAAGTGGTGACAGAGGACTGGTGAGAGAGAGTAAGAGAAGACATTTGGAGGCTCCTCTTGGTGAGGGAACAGAAGCGGTGTACTGGCTCTGCAAAGGATGACAGTTACGGACCCACGCCTGTTGTCCTCCTGAGGGCACCAGAAGACTTTGCTAGTCTTTCAGGCTTCTGCCCTTTATCATGGCGCAACCAAGGAGTTATGGGCCTGAATTTTTTTTCTGAGAATAAAATTATGAAACTGGAGTAGGTAATGAGGAACTTGGCTAATGGTACTGAATGGAACTTGGGAGAGCAGCACTGCGGAGGAGGACAACCTGCTGGGATTTCTGACTACCTCTGCTCTCGGGTTTAATTCTAATATCTGCAGAGTCAGAAGAGCTCAGCAACAGAGAAAATGTGTCATCAAAGGATCGCACAGTATCACGTGACTTGAAATTTGTCATCTTTCGATTCAATTTATGTTCAACAAAGAAAAAAAACATTCTGGAGAAAACTATTGATAATAAACAATGCAATTTTATAATAAGAGGGAAATCAATAGTAGTGAGTAGCAGGATTTGGTCAGGAATACATATAATTACGGTTTGGCATGCTGTTTATTTTAGCTTTTACAACAAAGCGAAGGGTTTGAGGAACCTGAGGAGCATTTCACAAGTCTCTAATCCAAAAACAGTTTATAACAATTTCATGGCACATAAAACATGCATCAATACTCTGTATTATTTAATAACTAAATAAGACACTGTGTCATTCTTTTCATGATTCACGATCACACATTCATTTTCTTTCATTTGAGAAAGCCCAATATTATTATTTTTCTAATGATTTTTGTTCTGATGAGCTATACATTTGAAAGAATTATTCTCATTTGAGTAACTGTAGAGAAAGCAAACTATAAATTTTCAATCTGTTACCAACAGGACAGGTTCCTGGGTTAGACTGTAGGGTGCATACTATATTGTGAGAGGAGTTATCTGGTCTGAAGCATAATTCCTACTTATGGTGGTGGGAATTTTGTTTATTTCATCACTGATCAGTGAGTAGAAAGTCGGTGTTGTTAAGGCTTCAGGAATTTTCCTTTAAAGTGGCAATCTATCAAAAATATGAGCTGGGTAAACCATCTCCTCAGGAGATGACCTGAGAAACTATTTCTAAGGTGTCAGAGCTCTGAGGAGGGTTTTCTCTTTAGGTGTCTGACTCTCATTTTACAAGCCTTTCTTAAGATAAGGCTTGAAAGGATATTATTCAATCTGTATTAGATATGAAACAATTGTTTTTTATATTCATGCTGTGTATTTGAAGTACAGTTCAAACCTATGCTTTATAAAAATAAGGAAAATATTATTAAAATATTTATCTGTAAAAAGAACATGTTTTTAAAGAAATCACCAATAAAGTTCTCTTGATACCACTAAGGCAATATTTGATTTGATCATTGATTTGATCACTCCCACCACTTATTCAGAGAGTTGGAAGTAAGCATGAGAGAAGTTTAAAAGTGTAAACTCGGAACATTAATTTTAGTTCCATATGAAGGCTAACTATAGGCAATTTCTCCACCATTGCAGAGAATCACTGAAGCAAATATTTCAAGATTTTTAAAATGTTTCTCTTATAAAATAATTAGAATTTTAACACAATGCATGATTCAAGTTAGAAAACCAGATGAGTTGAAATATTTTAATCACATAGCTGTTTTACCTGATTCTAATCGCTATAAACACATATATTTTATGTACTTAAAATTACTTCTGAACTATGGTTCCCAAATAGGTTTAGGAAGGTACATGGTAGAAGCTGTAAGGATTAATCACTGTGTCTTCGGGCAGTGTTCTCCATCAGAGGGTCGGGGAAGGTTCTCTTGCTTCTTCTAGCTTTGTGAGGATCCACTGTTGTGAGGAAATAAATCAACATATGCTTACTTCTATGAACTTGTAATGAAACTCAAAATGTACTGAATGGAAATATAGAAGTGGGCTTTCCAGTTTCATTTGGTATATTATCATAGCCAATAATTCAATTTATCTTGTGTAAGAGATCATTTACTCACTTAAATGGCCCAGATGGTTTAGGGTCAATGGCACTGATTTTTATTTAACAGCAAGAATAATATTGTTTTTAAGGTCAGTGAACTGGAATGTTCCTCTTTAGAATAAAAAAAATAAACCATCCTGAGAGAAATGGTAATTTGTCAGCGGGGCTAACTCAAGCAGTGTGCAAATTACCTATGCAAAATTGCTTCCAACCTATCGCAATTCTGTGCCACAAACCTTCATGATTCCATATACAGAATTCTACTGATTAAGAATAATTACATATTCTACAGTGGATAGGAGGAGCATAGCAACATTCTTGAGCACTTCAGGTGTTCTCATAATATAGTTTTCTCCTTTGAAAGGTTTGAAATCACAAAAATAAAACACATATGTAATGCAAACCTTTCTACCAATAATGTCTATAATCACTGGGCTCGTGTGACAGATAAAAGCCTTGGAGGTGACATGGATCATCCTACTATGGTATCGGTGCTTCTTTACCTTAAGAAGAACCTAGTGGGGATAGCTCTAGGATAAGGAGAGAAAGAGAACTGAGCTCAGTAGCCTTTCCTGGATGTTTCCAGCAGAGTAGGAAGATTAAAAACAAACCTTCTGGAACAAAAACACATGGTGACAGAGATTGCATGGAAAACTTATTGCAGAAAAACTGAAATAGGTGGTAATGCTCTTCAGCAATATGAAAGATGGCCTCAAAGTCACACTGTTATCATTCTCTGGTCTGTCTCCCTGTCCCAGACAACAGACATATCGAGGCTCTAGTCACTTTCTTCCCCTTTCAGTTATCTACTGGGAGTATGGCAGTGTGGCCTTGTATCCCAATGTCTGGATAGAAAATTGCATGGCACATGCTAAATGGTCCAAGGTTCCTCGTTTGGGGCCCAGATGAGAGAGTGAACTGGTAAGTAGTCACACCCAGTCAGGACCAATGCACTGTGAGGACAGGAGGCCCAGGGATTCAGTAAAGGGGCCTTGTGTTCTTATAATAAATTTCATGACACACAGAGATACAATTCAGTATCATAAATAGCAACTTAGTTTGATTAACTAGATAGATAATCAGTCTATAATCTTCCTTTCCCGGACACTACACCTCCTTATAACTGCCAAAACCCCTAAAATATGCACAAGGCTTTTCCGCTCACATCATTCATATTTTTCGGCAACTGAGGTTAAACGACTTCCCCAAGGTGCCACGGTCAAGAAGGATCAGAACCTGTAATCAGACTTGGATTTTCTGTCTACAGGCTTGGCTCCTTCTGCTATATTAAATGTTTTTAAATCACCATAGCTACACAGAGGAGAAATCACATCCTTTCCTGCTGGAGCTGGTAGATTAGCATTAGAATGAAATAACTTATTTTGTTTGACTTCTTCACAAGTATTACAGTTAGGATTTAAAATCAGATGGTGCCATTTGACATAAAAAACAAGTAGGCGTGTTGAATTCAATCTAATGAAAAGCAGCTTTGGAGAAATATTATCTAGTCACATATATTAAAATAGTCAAAGCAAAAGAACATAACTAAAAACAAATAAAACTTGTCTGCCTTAAAAACAGTCCAGCTTCCAGGACTATGAAAAGCAAACTGCTGTTTATGTAAAAGATCTGTTATATTTACCCTAGCATCCTCTGCGGTCTTGAAGTTAATTATTTTTCCAAACTCTTTGGCATGGAATACAGACTTCACCCGTTCCTATAAACAGAATAAGTGACTTCATTAAAAATGAAAAACCAGTTATAGAAATATGACAAATGCATGTAGTTTTAAAAATTGTTCCTTCTAGTATCCATTTTACACAGATCACACACCTTAAAAAAAGTCAAAAATGGGATATCAAGAAGAATCAAAGACAAATGGAAAAAAGATAAGAAGACTAAGCATTAACACATCCATTATCACTAAACCTAAGTTAAAAAAAGCCTTAGGTGAATGTTATAGCTAAAACCATAAAGGGTTAAAACAAAGGATGGGAAGGAGGTAAGTCTGGGAGAAGTGCCACTGTTCTTCCCCTCCAAAAAACTTTCAGATGATTCTTGATATCTGGCCATGGAATAATGATAATTTTAGCTGAAAAATGATATACACATATGTTTAAATACATACATCTGCATGCATATGTTTATGGGGTTGTGTGCATGTTTGTATGTATCCATGTAACTTCTGACATTTTAAAGCACTCATTGAATAAGAATGTAGCTAAGGATCAAAGAAATCAGGATGGGTCCAAGATCCTACATGAGAGTCTTCCAAATTTTGCATTCCTTCAGTATTCTGTTCATGTTCAAAACTGCCTCATGTACATATTAAATATTAGAGAGACAAACAGAAGAAATGGAATTCTTGAGGAGGAGGGTGGTATTTACCACTATTAATTAAGAGTCGGGTCATAGAAGAGGCAAGGTGGAGGTTTTTACTAGTCTAACAATTCCTATAAGTCATTCCAATAGCCATGCAAATATAGATTCCAAAAGAAGTCAGATTCTTTCATTTTTTTAAAAAAGAATGACTGCTAATACACTGTCTCAAGAATAGGTAGAAGAGGGGAGAAATCAGGGAGATAAGTTTATTCTTGGAAAGAGATTAAAAAAATATGGGAAAAAGCTAGGAAAGCAGTATGGGCTAGAACAGAAGCTAACAGCCATTCTTCATTATTTCAAAGGTGGCCACAGGGCCTTTCATTTTCTGAATGAATTAGAGAAATTCTCAATGGGAAAGTTGGTCTAACATCCCCCGGAACTAATGTCTGATCCACTCCCCCAACTCTCTGGACTGAGTGGTAAGTCTAGAGAAATGCTCTTCACTGGATATGCATGGGGAAGGGCAGTTTTGCCCGGGAGGCCAGCCCAGAAGACATCTGCTGTTTCTGCCTGCCTGCGCCCAGTGCCACTACCCCATTAAGCACTTTCTGAATCTCCTCTGGGTAACCTTCTCACTTTCTCTCACACCAACACTTCAGACAGAGATGACCCTTCTTTCCTGGGATTGATTTAGGAATAAGCAAGGGGCCAAAGGTGCCCCAGTGTGAAGCTTTCATTCTGCTGAGATGCCAGGAGAGAAGCCTGGAGCTCTCCTGGCCATCCTGCCATGAGAAGATAGCCAGCTTGAGAATGAAGGGAGAATAATTACTAATGCCATCATTTAAGCATATCTAAGTTATGATATAGACTTAAGACTTTTCACTTTACATGAGTCAATTAAGTCCCTCAAAACAAAACAAAAATAACAAAGAAAAAACTTACCTCGGTTGAGACACAATATTTCCTAAAACAGTCAGTGCCAAAGTGGCCTACACATACCTTGAGGTCAAATACCTTGAGGCCAAATGCATTATTTTTTTTATCACATACACCTACTATATTACTGTACTTATATACTACTATATCCTACAATGCCTAGTGCAATCATTTCAACTTAGAATGGAGTCTCTATTGATTTACCAAATTACTAGAAATTCACTGTATTTTACATCAACATCCAATGTCAGGCACCGTCCTAGCTGCTGGAAATCAAAACAGAGAAAGAAATGGTCTCTGCCTTCAAGATTATGACTGAACTGGGATAGGAATGGGCTAAGAATATCTATAAAAAGAGTAGGAACTATCAACTATCACCTGTTACTTTGCAAGTGTCCTTTTGTGAGATTTTCAAGGAAAACTATTCTCATGGCACTGCTAGGGATTTTGAGGTATGCAAATGATTTTCTCATTTTGGTGTCTTGGACAGCAGTGAGAGGGTAAAGTTCTATTACTGAATATAAAATAAAGACATGGAAATGTTGTCAATATAATAGCATGCAATGGAGCATATTTCTTTTCTTTTCTTTAAACCTGCATAAAACAGCAGGTATAAAGGAAAGCCATAGGAAGACAAAGCAACATCTATAAAAGAGAGGAAACTTACAAAAGTAAAGAGGATATTTCAATGCACTATGTTCAGTTCCAAGTTAAAAAAAAATCTATTTAAAATACCTTTGCTTCAATTCGCAATCTTCTTCCATGAACAATGAATGGCTCTTTGGTAAACTCATCAAAACTGTACTGCCACTCACATGTAAGCTGTCCAAATGTTCCTTTTGTTACAAACAATACCCCACTGCAAAAAAAAAAAAAAAAAAATCACTTTGAAAATCGTCATACTTATATATAAAATATAATAATATCAGGATACACATTCTTTTCAAGTGCACACAGAACATTCACTGAGATTATATTCTGGGTCATAAAAAATCTTAATGAATTTAAAATAACTGAAATCTTATGAAGTTTGTTCTCAGATCATGATGAAATTAGAAACCAATTAACAGAAAAATAAGAATATTTCTAAATTCTTGAAATTAGCATTCTTCTATATAATCCATGGGTCAAAGAATCTCAAATGAAATTTTAAAATATTTTTAACTCAATGAGAATGAAAATAGATCATAACCAAATTTGTGGGCTGCAGCTTAAGCAATATTAATGGGAAATTTATAGCATAACATACTTATGTTAGAAAAAAATAAAATAGATATAAAGTCAAATATATAAAATACTTTATAAGAAAAAATTTTTTATGCAGAACCTATTATCAACCAATATTTGAGGGAACTTTCATGTCATTAATACTTTAGAATAAACACTTTTATTACTCAGGCTCCATGTAATATGTTTACCAACCTACAAAAGAAAGAGGCTTTTAAAATTATTCTTGGAGGGGAAAAATAAAGCAATGAAAATGCATTCTATAATAACTCTATTTAATCCTCCCTTCAAAGGCTTTTCTTCCCCAATTCTCCTTCTGGTTGAGACATCAATTACAGAGGTTTCTTGAAATAACATATACATTAAAGAATTGAGTTAAAGAAATTTACCTTTTAGTTATCATTAACATATCTGTTTTATTGATCATGACATGGGTAAAATATTTGTATTTTGCAAATCTTCCATTTTCTATGACCTAGAAAAGTAAAATAAAAATCAATAATTATTCCTATTGCAATGTAATAAATCCCTTATGATCTTCTAAAACCATTTCTTAATGGGGTCAAGTAATAAGCAAATTTATACAATGAATATATCATCAGAAAACTGAATATTCAAAAAATAATTGCTCCTATTTGTTTAAAAACACCCATGTGCAATGCTTTATTCAAGATTACTCAATTGTAGCTATACCAAAATTTAATGCTGAATTTTTAAAAGAAGTCTTAATACCTTACAAATTCACTGAGATAGTAAGTTTACTATTAAACTATCATATTCATTTTATCTTGAGAACTATACTAGTATTTGATCACATCTATTACAAAAACACATGTAAACACACATATTTAAATATATGTATCACATAAATTACTATTAACTCTTATCTTGCCTCTTCCCTGGAATTTTCCTACCTGTCTTATATATATGCTTTTCTTTCTCAATCTCACTAATCATCTCTCTATATAAAAGACTAATAATATGCTAAGTGTCCCTCCGACAGTTCAACTGGTCACTATGATGTACACTGACCACCAGATGGCAGATGCTCAAAGCAGGAGCTGCTGGCCATTTACAAAGAAACAACACTGTGGAACTGGTGCTGACAAACACTGGGCTTCCCCTGAGTGGGACACAGGCCCCAACACTACCCAGAGCGACAGCCCACCAAAATGCAACCAATGCGATGGCACAAAATATGGCCCACAGCCCAGCCCAGCCCGGCGCCAGGTAATGATGTCACATAGCAATGCCCAGCTTCCTCTCTGTAGTGAGTAGCCTCCTTGTGAATTTCTTCAGCCCAAGAACATGACTTGCTGTATAGCCAAGTGAAAACATTTTAAACTTTAACCAAATGTTTGTGAAGCCTCAAACATTTTCATGTGCCTCATCTCATTTGATCCTCACAGAAATCCTGGAGTAGGTAGATAAGAGACTCGATAGAATCCTATTTTCTTTTCATTAGCCAGAAAATGGAGATTTAGAAAGTTTAGAAACTTGGCCCAACTGAAAAGAAAGAAATGGTGGATTTTGAAAATGACTTAGGTTTTCTCACTGCGCATATAGTCAAACATTGCTGCAGTTAAATATTTTACCCTTCTCCCTGTGTGACCTATAATAATCTGCTTCGTGTTGATATTTACTGCTGTGTTGCTAACAATTACCTGAAAGAGAAGTTGGGGTGCTTTACTGGGCTGGAAAAAAGTTTAGCTAAATCAGAAAGCAGGTCTAATTAAACAAGTTTATTCTATATCTATAAAAGGCTAAGTTGACTTGCGCACGTGCAATACATAGAAAGCTCTTGCTAGCACCAATCGCACGTGTGTGTTTCAATCTGTCATTGTTGAACATGAATTTGATTGACACTTCCATTATAGAGAAAGGGTGAATAGCAATATTAAAGTATTTCTTCTAAATAATTTTCTTTTGGTGTGCACAAATCTGTGCACAAGGTCCACTAGTTAAAAAATAAGGAGCAGAGTATTTCTGGACAAACAGGGAACTCCAGGACTTAGTTAACCTATGCACTAGCCTTTAAGTTTATTTTCAAGACTGATGAAACACTATCCATGACACTGTCAACAATCCTGTTAGAAAATTATGTTCCATGAGGCTATATATTTAAAAAACTAAAAGTATTTAGCCTAGAAGAAGGTAATGAGTGACTTCTTTTTTTTTTTTAATAAGTTTTTATTGTTCATATTATTACAAATGTTCCTTTCCCCCGCCGCCCCCCACCATTGCTCTCCTCCACCAGGTTCCCACCCCACCCTCTGCCCTTTCCCCACTCCCCATTGTCCTCATCCATAGGTGCACAGTTTATGTTCAGTCTCTTCCCACGCCCCCCTCTCCCCTTTTCCCCAAGAATCGTCAGTTCACTCCCCTTCCGTACCTCTGATTCTATTATATTCAACAGTTACTATTGTTCATCAGATTTTTTTTAATTTCCTTGTTTTTTAGATTCACTTGTTGATAGTTATGTATTTGTTGTTCATAATTTTTATCTTTGTTTACTTTCTCTTCTGAAAGAACCCCCTTCAGCAATTCATATAATTCTGGTTTGGTGTTGATGAACTCCTTTAGCTTTTTTTTATTAGTGAAGCTCTTTATCTGACCTTCGATTCTGAGTGATAGCTTTGCTGGATAGTATCTTTGGCTGTAGGTTCTTACTATTCATCACCTTGAATATTTCTTGCCATTCCCTTCTGGCCTGCATGGTTTCTGTTGAGAAGTCAGCTGACAATCGGATAGGTGCTCCTTTATAGGTAACTACCTTCTTTGCTCTTGCTTCTTTTAATATTCTCTCTTTGTCTTTTGTTCTTGGAATTTTAATTATGATTTGTCTTGGTATGGTCCTCTTTGGATTCCTTTTGTTTGGAGTTCTGTGCGCTTCCTGGACTTGTAAGTTCCAACTGAACTGAACCCCAATACCGGGCTCATTGGGGAGAGCATTGACTGTTTGGCAGCAGGCGAAAATCGAGGGCACCTTTCTCTCAGAGGCGCTGGCAGGGAGCACTGAAGGACCCGCATAGGGCGGGGCTGACGGAAGCCAAGGCTGCAGGCTCCACCCTGAAACCCCGCCTCATCTGTAACTGCGAAATGCGACAACGAAATAGATCACAAACGAAAGAAATGGAGGACAAAAAGCGTCTGGATATAGAGTTCAAATCTACGCTTATAAGGTTTTTCAAGAATTTCCTAGAAAAGATGGATAAGACCTATGAGGATATGAAAAGAGATCAACTAGAATTAATAAGGAGTCATCAAGAAATGATAAGGGATCAACAAGAAATGATAAGGGATCAACAAGAAATGATAAGGAATCAACAAGAAATAAAGAATACATTGTCTGAAATAAATATTTTACAGAGTCCTAAAAACATAAGGGAAGATCGCAAGAATCAAGTCAAAGATTTGGAACATAAAGAGCCAGACGACACTCCTCCACAGAAGCTAGAAGGCAAGAAAATCCAGAAAATTTAAGATAATGTAAGAAACCTCTGGGACAACTTCAAGCGAACCAACATCAGAATTATGGGGGTCCCAGAAGATGAGAGAGAGCAAGATATTGAAAACATATTGAAAGTAATAGTGACAAAAAACTTCCCCCACCTGGGGAAAGAATTAGACTTATGAGTGACTTCTTAATAATTTTGGTTGAGAAGCCTGATAGAATAGTTTTAATTTCTAATGGAGACAGAAGTTAAAACGACGACAACTCCCCCCCCCCCCCCAAACAATAATAATAATAAAAAACAACTAAAACATCAGGGTGAGGCATACAAATAAATTAAATGGGAAAATTTTCTAATTTTAAATTTTATAATATTGAGGAAAGAGCATCTTTACTATTTCTTGTGGTAGGCAGGACACGTAAACACAAATTTCTTGCATTACAAATAAAAAAGGGACATAACCACAGATTCAGAAGTAATAAGAATTATTAGATCACAAATTGTATAATTGAATTTGGAAACAGGTTGGTGTTGGTAGAAGTTATAAAATGACCAATAGGACTTTATAAAATTCTATATACACAAATATAGGAATTTATGAAATCAAAATAGCATTTTAAAGTCCTGGGCAAAAACATGTAATATCAAATAAATGGTGTTTCAGGGTTAGGAATCCCTACGTCTCTCCATATACCAAATTAATTCCACATGGATCATTTACTTAAGCATATAAAGCAACCATATAGAGATACTAAATGATATTTTAATAATCTTAAAGTGAGAACGGCTTAAATATAAAATACAAAGTCCCTAAAATTTAATGCAAAAAAATTCCTGAGTACATGAAAATTAAGTACTTCTAAATGGCAAAACAATAAGTAAATAAACAGAAATAAAATAACACAAAACCCAAAAAATGTTTGGAAAACATTTGTTAATACAGAATGATAGAGTCAATTACATAAAAAAGAGAATTCTAGGAATATGAATTAATCAATGTAAAAAATGAGTAAACTAACAGGAAAATGTGTAAAGTCTATAAACAGGTAGGTCAGCAAAATACGAAAAAATGTGACCAATAAACATATGAAAAAATCTTCAACTAATTTCAAAATAAAAAAATGCTAATTAAATGCATTATTTGAGTTTCATTTTATGTAAAATTATCCCAAGATATACATATATAAATCTTCATAAAATTGTGTTAAAAGCAAAAACCGTAAGTATCAATTAATAAGGGACTATTTAGCTTTAACTGGTTTGGCTCAGTGGATGGAGTATTGGCCTGCAGACTCAAGGGTCCCAGGTTTGATTCCGGTGAAGGGCATGTACCTTGGTTGCGGGCACATCAATGTTTCTAACTCTCTATCCCTCTCCCTTCCTCTCTGTAAAAAAAAAAAAAAAAAAAAAAAAAAAAAAAATCAATAAAATGTTAAAAACAAAAAACACACCAGTCAACATTTGCATTGGGTTCCCTTTTAGACAACCTTCACATTATTTAAAAAAATAAAAATAAATAAAAGACTATTTAAGTAAATTATAGTATAGCCATATGATGGGACATTATGCAGTAAGGAGCAAGAAAAAGATAGATGTGTGTACAGCTATAGAAAAATATGCCATCTTGTGGAAATACTGAGAATGAATGGGGGGGCAGAAGCAGACACATACATGTATACTTATTTATATGTGCACAGAAAATTTCTGGAGGGTGGGTAGTAACACATCAATCTGCTCATTGCACTCATCTCTGGGCTTCCAAAAAATAATAGTGGAGGTGGAAATAAAGCTTTGTTTTTTACTTTATATCCTTTTGTTTCAGTTTAGTGGTAGTTGAAAAGAAATTAGCTTAGAAGTACTTACTTTCTTTTGTCTTATATAGCCAAGTTTTAAAAGCAAGAATACAAATGTTGATCTCAAGAATATCAACTGCTACTAGTAGTCAAGAGTCTATATATCCCTATTTTAATAAAAATAATGTTATTTCATGAACAAATTTTTAAAAATTAGCTAAGTTGCT